AAAACTTAATAATAATCACTATCGTAATTTCAGTTTATTAAGAAAACTTAATAATAATCGCCATTGTAGCTTCAGTTTACTAAGAAAACTTAGTAATAACTATCATATTGTTTTCATAATTATTTTATTAGTAAAAAACATTTTTAAAGCTGTAAACACATTTTTTAATTAGATTTTTTAGTAAAAAGATGTCTCCTAAGCTGTAGAGACACTTCTTACTATAGTATTTTGATAAAAGTCACTTTTGAAGCTTTGGAGATGGCTTTACTATTTATTCAAATCAAATCAAATATTTAAATACTTGATTTGAATTTGATCAAATTGAGTTAAATATTAATTTGAATTTGATAAAATAAATCATTTTTTGATTTGAATTTAATCTAATCAAATTAAATATAAATTTAAATTTGTATTTGATTTATTCAAATATCAAATTGAATTGCAGAATCCTATTTTCTATTATTAAAATTATAATATATCTCTTTATCAAGAAACTTATTTTAATATATTAGGAATTGATCAAACTTATTTTGAAAATATCAGAAATCATCTAATAAACAATAGTCTTCTAGCAAGAATTTATGGTAATATTAAAAAAATACCTTAATGGAAAACTAAAATAGTGATTGATAAAAATGCTGCTGAAGTAGTAAATAATTTTTTAGAAAATTATGCAGAAGTTCATAGATATCAAGTCTAAAAAGAAGTATTAATAGAATAACTCAATCAATTGTATTTTTACTAGCTGAATTGAGTTATAAATCGGTAAACAGAAACTTTTAGCTAGTCAAAAAGAAAATAACAAATTGAAAACCTCAAAATATGATACTTTTAAAAAATTATGATATCAATTAACACCAGAGATTCAAATTATAAGTTTAAGGACTAATTTATGTGATACTTATAACATTTTAAAAATGGTTTACATTACAATGATCACCAAAAAAAAAAAGCTAAAAAATTACTTAAAAGATTTAAAAAACATCTGTTTAAGGTCAAATTAGAGAGAAATTATTATAATAAAAATATCAAATTAGCAGAAGAACAAAAAAAACTAGTTGATCACTATTATTCTAAAGGTAAAATATAGTATTACAATATTGATGCTACTGCTTATTATAGTTATGATTAAGCCTAAAATGTTCATATGTTATATTTAGATCAACAAGTAAGCAAAATCTATCATTCTAGTTTATGTAAAGTTTATTTATTTAGTATTCAAGATGAAGCAGTAAGGAAGCAACTTAATTATATTTTTAATAAAGATGAAATTATAGGAAAAGGATTCAATAAAACTTTTAATATGATTTTTGATTAAATTAAAAATTAAATAAAGGTGAAAAGCATTTAAAGATTACTTGTGATAATATTGGAAAACAAAATAAAAATAATATAACAATTTGATTTTATTCATATTTGGTAATTTGTGATTATTACAAAAGCATTAAATCAAATTTTATGATTCAAAACATATCAAATTCAAATGTGATGATAATTTATATTGATTAAAAAATTTTATAGGAAAATAGAAGTAGATTGTCTGAACTATGTAGTTGAAGTGATAAAAAGATCTAGTTCAGCAAAATTACATAAAGCTCAATATTATGAAGGCAAAAAAAGTTTATAATACTAAGATATTAAAGTAATTTTAGAAATTTATTTTAAGAAATTACTAAGCATCCAAAAATATCAACATTTTCTTTTTGAAGCAACTTATCTTGATATAGTTAAAGCTCAGAAAGTGACTAATAGAACTTTTGCTAATTCAATTTATTAAAAACTAGAAAGACAGATATTTTTGAAGAAATTAAAGCTTTATCTATTTTAGTATTGATATCATCTCTTTTGAATTATAAAAGGTAAGAATATCTTTATTATAATTTATTAGAGATAAATTCAATATTACTTATCCTAAACTAATCTATACTGGAAGTAAATAAAATATTTAAAATAAAATCACTTTTGTTACTTCACTACTTATTAATTTGTCCACTTATTATCATTAAGTTTAATTTTTTGCTAAATGTTTGTTAGCTTTTTTCACTTTTAAAGTAAAAAAATACTAAAATAATTTATATATTTAATATATATACTCTTATAAAAAGGATATTAAAAATATTAAAAGAATAAATAAAAAAAAAGAATAAACTTGATAAACATTATAAACAAATAATAACAATAAATAAAATACTAATAAATAAAATAGTATTATTGAAAAAGCAATTAGCTAAAAAAGAAGAAAATTTTAAGTTAAAAACTTGAAATATTATTTACAGCTTTATTAAAAGTTTAAAATATATGGAATAAGTTTAAGAACTTTAGTAAAATTTACTTGAGTAGATAATAGTTAAGTAAGTTATCCAGAAAGAGTGAAATTGAAATTAGAAAAATTGTTTTTAGCAATGAATTCACTTTCAAAATATTATTAAAAATTTTAGTCATGAAACATTAAATTATAAAGAAGTTTTAAGTTTTATTTATCAAGAAAAAGAAGAATTAAAAGAAAAGAATGCTCTTTTAGAAAAAAAGTTATTGAGTTACAAAAACTAATTAAGAATTAAAAAAAGCATTAGAATTAGAGAAGGAAATATAAGAACTTTGCAATAGAAAAGGAGAAAACTCTAAAAAATTAAAATTTTATCTTATACGCTAAATATGATTTTTTTAGTTAAATAAATACAGATTTAATATTATTTTAAAAAAAATTTTTTTTAGAGTTTTCTCTCTTTTTATTGCAAAGTTCTCATATCTGAATGTTATTTAGATGCTTTTGAATTAGTTAGATAGTAGAGAATAAGGTAAAACAAAAAAAAATGATAATTTTAAACAAGCTTCTAGGTAAATAGAGTTGTTAGAAAAAATTATGATATAACAGAAATATTTGATAGACAAGCAGCTTTAAGAACTATTAGTTTTACCAAAAAAAGAAAACAAATTTAAACTTCTAACTAACAAAGTAAAGAACAAAGTTAGCCAAGTAAAAGTAATAACTTGAAAAAAATTTAAAACCTATATCTTACAAAGAATAAATAGTATGAAATTAGAATATCAAGTTAATGAGCTAAGAAAAGAAAATAAATGGTATTGTAATTGTTATCTTTTTAAAAAAAAGAAGTTTAAATGTTACTTACAAAATAGTATCTTATAAGCAATAATAATTATAATGACATTACTTATAGTGTAAAAAAGTTCTTGATAATATTACTTTGCTATATTATAATGATTGCGGTAGAATTATAAGAAATAGAATAAATTATTTTTATGATTTAAAGAAAGATGAACTAGTTAAAATTCCAATTATAACAAATGTACAGAGTTATATTGGCAGATTGAAATAGCAGAATAAAAACTTAAAACAGCAACTATCTAATACTAAAGAAGAAATTAATACTCATTTAAAAGCCTTAGAGATTTTAAAGGATTGACATAATAAGCAAAGGTAAGAACTATTAAAAGACTTGAAAGTGAGATTGAATAATTAATGAAATAACAGAACTAATAAGTTGTTCAAATTGAAATTAAAGAAACAAAAAGATAATTTTAATTGAAAATAAGAAAGTAATTTAAAGAAATTCTATATAAATTGAAATTCATTCAATTATCAAAGAAAATAGTAGTTATTAGATTTTACTTTTATTAGGTAATAATATATCATTATGATTAAGGTTGCTTGTCTAAACTCATTTTGGATTTGGTTAAACGTTTAAACCTTTAGTTTCACTAAATTTTACTAAGTGTTTAATATAATTTTACCATTTTTATAAGCTTTGATATAGTTTTATTTTTTCTGAATTTCACAAATTCTTTAATAAGATTTTAATATAATTTAACTAAGTTTACTTTTACCATTTAGACGTCTGTCTAAACTCTTGATTTCACCTAACAACCTTAATTATAATGCTTTCTTTTTCCAACATTTATTATTTTTCTTTCTTCATAGTAAATTTCATAAGTAATTCTTTCACTTTTTAAATAAGCTTCAAATATCTGAATATTATTTATTTTGAAAATGTAAGAATCAATTTTTTCATTTTATTTTTTCTTTAACATACTTCTAATGATATTATAATTCTTGGATTTCATAATAGATCTGATGCAAATGAGTTTTATATTAACTATTTTTGCCTAGACAAATTACATTGATAATATAATTATGATGTTAAACAAACATTATTGATTACTGAAATTTTTGGTAGTACTAATATTCACTTTGTCTGCTTTTGTTGCAGTATACCCTATATTATTATTAATTTGAATAAATTGATTTTAATACTTTTTTATATTAATTGTAAGTATTACTCTAATAAAAGTTATTATTTAATAATTTGATCTTTTTAATAATTATTAATTAGATTTAATTAAATTTATTAAAACTTAATAATTTTAAATAATCAGTATTTTTATTAAATTAAGAATTCTTTATTAAAATATATAAACTTCATTTTGAAATTTAAAATAAAAAAAATATATTTTTTTCATTTTGATTATAAAGGTAATTAATAATTCATTAACTAAAGCTTATAACTTACCTTTGTTTATTTTCTCTTTTATTCTTTAAATCTTTTTTTTAAAATCTTCTATTTAATATCTCTTCAAAATTTATTTTTGCTAAAACATTCTTAAAGTTTTTGTTATTTCAAAAAAAATGGAAGCTTTTTAATTACATATGAAAGGCGGTCAGTAGAAAAGGGGAAAATCCAATTATTAAGCTAATTTTGTGCACATGACTGAGATCAGCCAAGTGGTTCAATAATATAAATTTTGACCAAAATTTGGATTTCCCCCTTTTTACTGACCGCCTCCCATATATTGAATACTTTGAGATTATTATAATCTCAAATTTATAAGAATTTTTTTATTGAAACTTTACTAATCTTTGTCCTACTTTGTTATTTTCTTTCATCCAATAAAAATTCCTGTATATAGCAACAAGTCAATCTCAGGTGACATCATAAAATGGCTTTTAGAATAACTTCCAACAGCGACGTTTTTTATATAAAATGATACCAAGACGTAATGATTTGGGCTCAACGGAATCTGTTAACACATCACCATCAAACAGTCCTAGAATTTCCCTCCAAAAACCTATTTCGGAACCCGTAACTTCAATTTCTACCGAAAATACTGAAAAGTCAACAACTATCGATAAACCACTACCTCCAGATCCACCGATAAAAACAGCCCAAGAAGAAGAGGAAGAACTTCCTATTCCTCCCGAATTTATAGACCATTATGCAGACGTCAAAGTAAAATGGAATAAAATGGATGATGAACCCCTTATATATAGAGATAAATTTATAGCCATTACCAAGACTTATTTATATATTTTTAATTATTATATTCCTGACGGAAGAGAAAAAGCTATTCCTATGACTAGTATTAATAATGTTCAAACTGATGAAGAAGCAAAGATATCTGATTTAGCTCATCAAAAATGGTAAGTAAAACTTGAAAGGCGCATAATATTTATTCTTTAGGTGAATGAATGTCGCTAATTTTATATCTACTTTGAAGGGGAGCTGGTTCAATAGATCTTTGGGTAAATATAATATATACGCGTTTTTATTCCTTTTTTTTTTTTACTGATCCTTTATTTTATTTGTAGTGGGCAAAAGATTTCGGAAGATGGAAAGGTCATGATTTATGCATTATTGTTACTGTTGACCATGGGTTGGTTAAGAGAAAAGGTTTTACTTTAGAAAACAATGAAGGCTTATATGTTTTGAAAAAAGCTTGGAAAACTGCAAAGGGTGAACCATTTAACGGATAATAATATTAATAATAAACCTTTTAACTGGCTAAATATTATTTTTAAAAAATCTGTCTTGACAAATTTATAAATATGTTCTTAAATAACGCGTAAAAGAATTTGGTGGTTAAAACTGCGATGCTTGTGTTAATAAATAGATTACTAGATAACAGAGGTTGATCTACAAAACTATAGAAATTTATACACACTTTTTCCTTTATCAAAATAAAATAAAAATAAAATAAAACATCGTAATATCAAATGAATTATTGATTACTATTAGACGGAGATTATTTCTTCGTTATTTTTGTCTTATTTCTTTAAAGACAAAATGTTGCAAAAATTTTTTCGCACAAAACCTACTAATAAAGATGTAGAAGATTCGAATACTCGAGCATTATTAGAGGCTGACTCGTATGTATTTTTATGGACTTGCCTTGAACAAGTTTATCCAGTTTAATATGGATGGTTTTATTGGAAAACTTTTTATGGTGTAAAAAGATTGACGTACTATATATTCATAGTTATTAAAATAATGTATTTTATATTATAATTATTTTAAATAGCTGGTCACCGCCGGCCTTCAGTTCCAACCAAATTCGCGTTATTTTATGTCAGGATACGGGCGACAAAGCTAAATTAACATTATATGATTCGGCAGTTCCAGTAACCTCAAATTCTTCAGAGGATCGTAGACCAACATCCGAACTTTCTTCTTCTTGGAGTGGAGTTGGCTTTTTTCTTCCAAAGTCTAGCAGTGCAATTAATATTAAATCTAATAATCCGGTTATTACAACAGGTCATCCTCCTTCTCATCACCGTAATCATCATCACCACAATAAATTAGATGGCGACAATATAAGAAAAAGTTTTGATTCTATTAATAAATCTAGTATAAAGACTTTACCTCCTTCCATTAATCGTAACGGTCATGCGTTCACCTCACAGAGAAAGGTAATCTTTGACCTGAAATTTTGTTTTATTATGTTCAACACTAACTTTATTTTATTATGATAAATAAGACGGCTCATAATATAGATTTAATTGGCGAGATGATGTTTGGGGCTGTTCCTTTATCTTACAAAGGGATGACAACCAAGATTCATTATATTAAATCCCCAAAACCTCAAATTTTGTTAACAAAATTGTTCTCGATAAGTCCTGCCGATTTTGAATCCATTTCTCCCGGAAGACGTAGTTCTTTTTCTTCTATGAGTAGTGATACTTCTGTATCTTCCTCTACACAAGGTAGTTTAGCTATCAATAATGAATTGCGTAATGTTACAAGACAAAAATTTGGATCAAATCCAATACATTTTGACGATTATTCGGAATCGAGCGATGACGATTCTTTTCGTTTTATTCCCAATTATTCTACTTCTCCCTCATTTTTTCATCCTGGACCTCCAATCCTTGGTTTGAGAACGAATGATGTTTCGGTATATTCAACTTCTTCTCTTTCAACTTCACCGCGTAATAATTTCACTAATAGAAGGATGCGAAGATACAGCCAGACTAGCATGGAAAATGGTATATTTAACCCAACCCCTTTACCGGGAAGTATTGCGCGACTTGAATCATTAACTAATCGGCTGGATCCTCTGAACAATAATAATGTATGTCTCTTGTGTCCTATATTTTTATAATAATTTTACAAATTAAATAAGCTCTTTATTTCATTATATTTGATTTTCAGTTAAGTTTGAAGCATCCTTCGCGTTCTATGATGTATGCTATTGGAGTCGTCATAACATTAGAAAATAATACAACTTTGGAAGAATTTATATTCTCGCATTTCGCGTTGCTAGAAAACAGGCTACATCAGCTTCATTCTACAGCTTTTAGATTACTTTGTCATTTCCTAAAAAAATCTTCACCATCATCATCAATCAACGGACCTAATTCAGTAAACTTAAATTTTAAGATATTTGCCATTTATTTTTTTAAAAAAAAAAATTATTTCTCAAATAAGTTAATCTTTTTTATTTTTAACTCAACATTTCTTAGATATTTAATCCGACGAATAGGAGATTTTCCGTGGCATCTCTTTCCCCATTAATGCTCCAAAACGAGCAAATCTGGTTAGATGCGGTTTTTCGATTTAAGACATCGTTTTACCAATTGTATAATACGCCGCGAATCCAGGTATCAATGACATAAGAAAAGAATTCACCACATACTACGAAATTAACTCCTTGGAAATGTTGCTCCACCTAAAGTGCGCAAGCTTTTCCTCAAAAAAAAAAAAAAAAAAAAAATTGCGTACGTATGAGCAAAGGTGGCAACAACTAACTCCTTAATCATCCCTTACAAAACTTTGCGCAAGGAGCCATTGTGGTTAAACATGTCGACATTTCCGCAACAAAGGAGTAAACTCGCTAAAAGCCTGTTGAATGAACTAACTTTTTTATTGGAAAATTTTGATAAAGAATCTAATTTGTATCCTTTATTGAAAAATAAGTTGACCACGTAAATTTCATAATTTATCGTATTCACCTTAATTTTTTTATTTATAAAAATTCAGTTTCATCTCCACGCTGATATCTAGCGTTTTAATGTATCATCTGGCATGGGTTCCGACAGTAGCACCAATTGCAGATTTTGAAGAACGGGTAATTTTATTTGCCTTTTATGTTTTAAAGGTGAAAAAAAAGAATGAAAATAATTTAGCTCATTAACTTTATTTTTAGAATGGGAAGAATCTATTTTATGATCCGTTATGGGCACAATTAGGGTAAATTTCTTAATTTTGAGATAGCTCTTATTATGAATGGATAAAAGTACCTAGGTTTTTTTTAGTGTGCAAGATGCTATGTTGAATACTATTATTATCTTTGTTTTTATCCTTTTAGGGACTTGTATGGTAGCATAGGTTCACCTTCGATAATGAGCCGGACCATTATTGTTGGTACAGATGTAAACATAGTCCGTCGTATATTATTTGTTTTGAGTTATTTTATTCGATGTAATGAAGTATATGAAAGAATGGAACATATGGTTCCAACAGAAAGTCAATCAGAAGAACAGGTGGATCCTGAAAATAATCTACGATATAATATTAGTTCAAAAGATTTCTCTTCTGAAGGTGCGTCAAAAATTGCTGAATTTTGTCAACACTATAATAAATAATTGAAGTTGATATAGATGAACTTTTTAAAAAAAACCACTGCAGACATTTCCAATTCCAATTCATTGGACATGAATAATTCTTATCATGCTACTGATAATCGACGGAAAAGTGTTAATTTGGATTTATCATTCGATAATTTCACCGATAACTTATTAGAAGTTCCAATGCCAAGGTAAATTTCAATTTATTGAGTATATACGTTTACTATTTTATTTAATCATAATGTTGTATATAGATCACAAACCCCAACTATAATACCTGACGTATCATCCAACGAAACGCGTAATGAAAATGATGAAACTTCTAGTGAAAAACTTCCGTATCGAGCAGATGAATTATTTGTAAAATCATACGGTAGATCACTTATGGTCGGTTGCTGTGATACTTACATGTCCGATTTTGTATTGATGGGCCTACCTAAACTTGGTGAATTTCAAGAATCATTAGAAAGTGACTTGAGGAATTCTCTGCTGGTAAAAATTTTCTTCTATTTGAACATTATATTAAAATTAATCGGAATGTTTCGTCAAAATGGTTGCGTAAATTGCGATTATTTAGATTATTTTTATTACGACAAAATTATTTAAAAATTTATGATATGTACTTTTTATAGATGCAGCCGCTTTCTTCTCAAGACCCAGTTTCAAAATCCGTTTGCATTTTGGGACAGTTGAATACATTGCAAGTACACAATATTGCACGATTTTTGGCACGCATTGAAATATATATTAATATTTATTATACATAACATAATTATAGAAATTGTTCAGTTTTAGGCTGTGATGCATACGGAAGTCGACATGTGATTGGAAATTCGACAGTTACGGTTGATGGAGATCACATAAGAAATGGCGGTGGCTATTTCCTTCCGCTTCATACCTCAAATTACATATACGCTATGTTACATCAATGTAAAGACTTGTATACAACCATGGGAATGCCTGCAGAATCCGTAAGCAAATGTTCCTTTAATTGCAAATCATTTAATAAAAAAGAAGGACTAATTTTTCATGATTTCATAATTTGTATTTTAATTTAGTGTCTAGAGTATATAGAAGATCATCTGAGATTATTATATTATAAGGCTGTGATGTACAAGAAATTGTATTCATCCTCACTCCCTACATCCACCACTTCAGGAACTTCACCTTCGATAGCATCCCCATCAATTTATATGCCACCTTCATCGGTTGACCATGTTCCGTTGGATATATTGGATGTTATAGGTTTACAAAAATCGGATATTCCTTTAGTAAAAGCCATAAATTCAACTTTCTAACCTTTTATAAACTCTATTTTCTTTGGTATTAAATTAATTATTTATTTATTAACAATTGTTTTTATTTATAAATTTTGGAATATTTCACTATTTATTTATTTCTATTTTTTTTTCTTTTTATAATTAACGTTTATCTTTCCTTTGCTTTTGTTAATAAATCGAATTATCAAAAAAATCAATTGTTTGTGTGTCACATTATTTTAAGAGCTGCGCACGAGCGCGTGGTGATAACGAAGCACATTTGAAAAATATAAATGGCGAGAGATATGATATGATTGTAGAAATCAGTTAATCACACTACGTAAATACTTACACGATTCGTCTATATGCGCATAATAAATAAATGACTTAAGGGTGGGAAAAATTATGCAAATTAGTATATAGTCAATATATCAATAATCAACAAGTTAAAAAAAAACATGCGTAAGACATGATATATCAAGATGTCACTTGAGCAGGATTAATTGATCAAATTATTTACATATTTTCTTTTTTTTTTTTTGTTTTTTTTATTGTATCCATTACGAATAAATAAATCATTTAATGAACAAAAAAATTTTCATACGAGTAACTTAATATACATGAAAAGGTGATATATTAATTACAGTTTTAAACTTATCATTGTATAGATCTTTTTTTTTTTTTTTTTTTTATTGATTTTTTATGCGTAAGAGAAATATATATATATATATTCTCTTTGATTCAACAGCACTTCTTTCTTTAAGTTTAAATAATTGTTGAAAAATTGATATACGGGGCGTAGTAGCAAGAGGTGTTTGTTACACGAGCACGAGAAAACACTTCTACCTAATGATAACTTCCTTTTCTTTTAATTCAAACCAACATTACGATCAAGCCTCAACGGACACGGAAGTAATGATGAATGGAATTGGAAATTCAAATTTTACAGAAGAAAGTCATCACTATAATCCATTATATCAAAATCATCATGAAATTGTAAATCAAGACATAAAAGAAGGCTTGGTTTTAAATGAGACTTCATCTCCTGAACTTTCACCTAACACCTTAACCAGACATGTTTATCATCATTATCTGCCTCCTTATCGTCAAGTTAAACGTCGACGTCGACTCACCGAAGAAGAAACAAGTGTATTGAATAACGTTTTTGAAAATGAACAAAAACCTGATGCAGCTACACGTGCTCAATTGGCTCAACAATTAAATATGTCATCACGTGCAATTCAAGTTTGGTTTCAAAATCGTAGAGCAAAGGTTAAAAGAGACATGTTGGAATCAAAAAATGCTGCAAAAAATAAACCAAAGAAATTGACTTTAGCTGTAGATTATTTCCCGGAAAAGATTAAACTATCAAATCCTATTGGTAATTCCCGTACAAATTTACCCAGAAAATCCAGGATCACGACAAATTTGGTTAATCATTGTACTTCACCTGAAGAACCAAAATTAGATATTTTAAACGGAAATCCTATTAATTCTTATGTTATTCATTTCAATAGTGGGAATGAAGTTATAAATCAACCTGAAAGTAACATTAATTATTGGAATTCTTCTTATTTGAAATCTTTGGAAATCGATGATTCTTATGCTAATGGAAATAGTCTTACAAATGTGCAAAGTAAATCTTAAAAAAAAATTTTTTTTTCTTGTCTATTTTAAATAATATATTTTTTTTTAAAAAAAAAATTAGATTTTGAAGCTACACCTTTATTGGCATTGCCATGTTTTTCCAATAACTTTTTTCATGAAAACAATTGTGCCGATTCTTACCGTTATAATTTATCTTCTCCTGGACCTTTAGGGATAATAAATTCTGTTCAAGATTATGATGGTAATATACCTAATCTACTTAATTTCTAAATATTTCAACAATTTTTTTCGATAATAATTGAACTTCAAATTGGTTTTTCAGGAACGTCACAGAGAAACCTTAATATTTTTGGGTCCAACGCAAATCAATATGTGTTATCAAGTTCAACGACCGCCATACCTGCAATAGGCGATTTATCCATCTCTCAAAATGTTCGATATTTGCCATTATCCATTACATCCAAATATCCGTCAACCGGTATGACCAATTTCCAAGGCGGCCGAAGATGTTATTTCAATTAAAGAATTTCCATTCGAAAATTTGTCATCTAAACAATCGAGTTCTTTAAGATTCATGGCAACAATCACGATAATGAATCTATCTATTATGGCTAGTGAAACAACATTTGAAACCAAAGAATTAATGATGATTGGGGAAAGTCTGTTTCAAAGATAATATATGTCGATCATTTTTACTTGTGTATTTTATTTCATATAATTATAAATCTTAATTGTATAAACTGGTGATTTATCTAAAGAACACTTTGAGTAAACATTTGTGATGCGAATACAAAAATTAAACTTTCTCAAATATTCCGCGCATTTTGTTATTTATATTTTATTTCAAAAGACATTGTTATTGCAATAACTGCCTGCCGTCTTTTCCAATTCAAAATTCCCAAATTTGTTATTCGATTTCCATATTAGGTAATGCGCTTGCCGATCATGTCGTTTATCACGTGAGTTATCAATATAAACTTTAGGGGAAAAAAAAATATAAAAATATCAAATTTTTATAAGGCCTTTTTTTTCACCTTTTTACTAACATCCATCTATCTTTCATTCATCTTTTTCTTTTTTTGTTATTTCTTATACAACTTAAAGAATAAACATGTCTTATACTTCAAATTACGGTGCTCCGGGTGTTCCCGCTCCTCCAGGAACATTGTTCACAGCTACCTCCTCTTCTACTTATGGTGGCAGCAGTGCGGCCCCACCATCGTCTTCAACTTACGGAACCAGTGGATCTTCATATAATAGTGGTTCTTATAAAAATTCTTCTGGTTATACCTCTTCATCTTACTCTTCAAGATATGGAAACGAACGTGGTGTAGATCGTTCTTATGATGATCGCAGTCGGAGGGATCGTAAGGAGTATGTTTTAATATTATTTTTAAATATTAGTTCTTTACTGTGGCTTATAGATCAAGTCAAATATTCTTATAAGAACTTTATTATGTCTAATAAAATAACTATATAAATATGTTATTGTAAAGGTTAACCGGATAATTACATGAATCAACTAACTTAATTACTCTCCTTTATTAATTTTAGGTATGATTCTCGCAGCTCTAGCTATCGAGATCGTAGTCCTACATATGAAACTTACGGAAGTAGGGAACGTTATTCTTCATCGAGCTATCGTCCAGGAGGAGGGAATAACTCTTATTCAAATGATCGTATGTCAAACCTTGGATCGGGTTTGATTAAACAAGAGTGGGATTTCTCTAAACTTCATAAATTTGAAAAGAATTTTTATCGGGAACATCCTGAAGTCATGTCACGATCAATTGTCGAAGTTGATGAGTACCGTAAATTTCATGACATGAAAGTCTTTGGTCGTGAAATTCCAAAACCAGTAGAAACCTTTGAAGAGGCCAATTTTCCAGGTAGTTTTTTTAATATACCAGTAAATCTAATAAGGTTCACTATTTCTTTTCGAATTATATTTGAAAATGCTTTCCCTTACAATTTACTTTAGCTTATGTGTTGAAAGAAGTTTTGGACCTCGGGTTTAAAGCTCCCACGCCAATTCAATCTCAAGGATGGCCGATGGCACTTTCTGGGCGTGATGTTGTAGGTATAGCTGAAACGGGATCTGGCAAAACTCTAGCCTACTGTTTACCGTCTATCGTACATATCAATGCTCAACCGTTCCTTGAACCTGGTGATGGTCCAATTGTTTTAATTCTCGCTCCTACACGTGAATTGGCCGTGCAAATTCAACAAGAATGTACAAAATTCGGCAAATCCTCAAAGATTAAAAATACCTGTGTATACGGTGGTGTACCTAAAGGACCTCAAGCTCGCGAGTTGTCACAAGGTGTTGAAATTTGCATTGCGACACCTGGTCGTTTAATTGACATGTTAGAATCTAGGCGAACAAATCTTCGCCGAGTTACTTACCTTGTTCTAGATGAAGCAGATCGTATGTTAGATATGGGATTTGAACCTCAAATTCGCAAGATAGTCGATCAAATTCGTCCAGACAGACAAACACTTATGTGGAGTGCAACTTGGCCAAAAGAAGTTAAAAAACTAGCCGAAGATTATCTTCATGATTTTATTCAGGTGAACATTGGTTCATTAGATTTATCGGCAAGTCATAACATTACGCAGGTAGTCGAAGTTTGTGCAGAATATGAAAAACGAACAAAGTAAGCATCGATTATGTTTATAAATACGTTTGATATTGATTAAGTGCATCGTTTATTTATTTACTTTTCTTGTTATAGATTAGTTAAACATCTTGAGAGGATCATGGATCAAAAAGATAATAAAACATTAATCTTTACTGGAACTAAGCGTACAGCGGACGAAATTACTAAATATTTGCGGCAAGATGGTTGGCCAGCACTTGCAATTCATGGTGACAAGGCTCAGAGTGAACGTGATTGGGTTTTAAGTGAATTTCGGAGTGGCAAATCTCCAATTATGGTCGCTACTGATGTTGCATCTAGAGGAATCGGTATGATTTATTAACTATATTTTTGCAGTTTTTAGTTGTTTTAACGATTTCTTGCCCTTTCGCGTAAGTATGTAGGTCCCCCCTTAAAAATGCCAGCAGTAGCCGCGGGCAGAAAGTGCAAATCTAATAACGCGTTTTCAAATAAAAAATTAAAAAGAAAAAATATATATCATAGGCGCGATCAAAAATATAAAAAAATTTTCTATCAAAAAAAAAAAATTCTATCCATATACACAATATATAAAATCCCCAACACATAACACCACAAAACACGAAGAAATTCCGTCTCTTGGCTAGTTTTTACCGGGTCCTGTTTGGAGTGCCCTTATATTTGGATTTAAGCTCTAGCCGATTCAATTGCTTACCAATAGCTTAAATGTTTCCTCACATATTTTTATAGCCAGCTTAGATTAACTGGCTAGGAGAAAACTATCCATATAATGGTAACTCATGATAAAACTAGTTCAGGCGGTTTTTTGAAGTGCTAAACACTTGAATTGAGGAATTTCATGGGTGCCGTCATTCTTTATCAAAAGAAACGTCATGTTGTGTTGTCCTCTTTCCGTGATACTTTCTTTACTTGCCTGCCGCTGCTCTTCGATTCTGGCATTGGGACTTACATATCCTTTTATCCTTTTATATTATATTACTATTATTTGTCTGTCTATTCTGTTTTGTTTGTCTTTTGAATTTTTTTTTATTTTTTTGCTCGTTCGTCATTGTATCGTTGAAATTGCACGAAAGTCATTTTGATGGCAATGTGCATTTATATATAATTGACGCCGGCTGATAGAGTTACCCTTGCTAGATAGTAGACTCTCTGATTAATTTGATTTGCTCACAAAATTTTTTTGGACTTCAGATGTTAAAGATGTTAAGCTTGTTATCAATTACGATTTTCCCACTAATGTAGAGGTAATAATAACTATTTTTATCTTTGCATCCTTATTTCTTTCTTGTACATCTTTTAACGTTTTTCGTTTTATTATAGGATTATGTTCATCGTATTGGACGAACAGGACGTGGTGGTGCCAAAGGCTCTGCTATAACGTTCTTCACAATGGATAATGCTAAACAAGCTAAAGATTTGGTGAATATATTGCGGGAAGCTAATCAGGAAGTGGATCCAAAACTGACAGATTTAGCAAAAATTTCTACTGTCAACCCTAATAGTGGTAAGTTTTTATATTACTTTCGTATTCAACAAACAATTCTTCATAAGAAATTAAACCATTAACAATTGAATTAGGACGGGGAAGGTATGGTAGTGCGCGTTATGGTTCTAGCAATAGTAGTAGCCGCTCTCGTTGGTAATAATAATATTAGAGTTTGTGCAGAGTGTATTGGCTTGGACTTGGAAGAATAGAAATACCTCTGTGTTAATCATTGATTCGTTTTAAGTGCGTTTGAAATAATAACGTTATAAAAATGCGTATGATTTCAATTATTATATATAATGCAACATATTAGAATACAAAATAAATAAATCAATAATATTTTTTCTCTCAAAAGGATTGTTTTGATTTCATAATGATTTTAACAATAATAATTTTTAATTAATTAATAAATAAATTGTATCATAAGTATGGTTGATAAAAGTCCTAATTGGTCCTAATTGGTCCTTATTAATTTTAAAAAAATTATTAGTTTTAATAGTAGAATATGTGAATCTAACCATTCAAATTTTAGAACGATTGGGCTGGTGGTTCGCACGTTATTTGCGTTCAAAGTTTCGTCACAACAAGTCGGATTTTCTTTGTTGGAAATTTAATATTGTAATAGTTTTAAAAATTAAATTTTTTTAAATATTATCATTATATTCAATTTTTTAATTAAAGTTACTTAATAAAATAAGTTTAAATTTCTTTTTAAAATTTAAAAATATCTTTAAAATTTTAGATTTAGGATCTAGATCCTAGGATCAGATCCTAAATTAAGTATATATTAGTGATGCAGACTTTATAAGGTTTACTAATTTATCTCCTAGATTCTGATTGGCTGGTATTATTGAGATTAGTTAGGGTTAGGTTAGAATTAGGGTTAGGATTAAGGCTTGGGTGATTTATCACCGGCATGACACCAGTAGTGTTTCAATTTTTATTAAGTATCTAGGGGACTTAAATTTTTTAGTTTTGATATTTATTTGTCATCCCCTCAGCACATGACAATTAACATAATTAAATTTATCAGCCAATCAGAGCCTGAAGGGTAAATTAGGTAAATCGACTTTTATATAGAATAGTTACCTTATATATATAACATCTATAGTGTAATAGTATTCTACCTTTTGATTAAATGACACATATATGATGTCTAACATTTCCTTAACATTAGACGTGACCTTTGACATGTTTTTGATATGACTTATATATATATTAGTATGCTTCAATATATTATTATTTATTATTAAAACTTTAATTTATTATATTTATTAAATAATAAATATTAATTAAATGAAAAAGTTTTAACAAAATATAAAAAAAAAATAAAACAAATTTTAAAAATACAAAAAAGAAAATAAAAAAATATTTGTTAATTAAAAAAATTAAAAAAAAATTTGTTAATTAAAAAAAAAAAACTAAAGAATTCGTAAAAAAAAGACTTGGAAAAAATATAAAAAATATTGTTTTAATTGTAAAAAAAATTCACAATGCAAAAAAAAATTTCATAAAAAAACTATCCCATTACAAATGATTCAATTAACTATTCTAACATCATAAAAATTAAATAAAATTAATAATAAAATATATAAAATTGAATATTTTATAAACAAATTTTTTACCTTGCTTTTTTTTTCTCAATCTTTTTCTCATTGTTTATATTTTTTTGCTAATTTTTGCTTTATTTTTTTTTTATTTTAAAATTTTTACTACATACTTGATTAAATTTATTAGCTAAATTTAATAAATATTAATTAAAGATTTAATAAAATGTGAAATTTAAATAAATTATTTATTAATTAAAATTCTTACTTAGTTTTAACCAAAAATGAGATTGAAACTCATTAAAATAAATCTCTTCTGTCTTAGAACTCTTCTTTGAAGATTTTGTCATATATGCATACATTGTCTATAATATAAAAACTAAACATTAGTAATTACTTTTTATCAATAGCAATATTAACAATATTAATAAAAATTTATTTACATTATAATTTTTGATAAACCTTTTAAATTTTTCATGACATTGACTTCCCATATAATTTGTTTTACAATTTTCATTAAGTTTTTTTGTTACATCTTCCTACTAAAATTCAATTTTACTCCTTCCAATAATATAATGATATTCTGAATTCCTTTTTTTTCTTTTGTCAATTAAAAAACATGTTTTCTCATTAGTCTATTTAATCATTTAAAAACATTTGAAATTTAAAAAGAAAAGAAAATTCATTCTATATATATATTAAATAAAATTAATTAATGTCATTAGATTAACCTGATTTATTATATTTTATTGATTAATAATAAATATGATTTATTATCTAATCTAATAGTAAATTAAATAAAAGTCAAAAAAAAGTTATATTTTTTAAAATCTGTTTTTTAAAATTGTATTTTTTAATATTATTATTATTAAAATTAAGATTTATTATTTTTAATAAAATGAAATTAATTTATTTAAATAAATATAAAAATGTTAATAAATAAATAATAAATAAATGAATAATTAATGAATTTAAATCCTTAATGAAATCTTAATCTAAACTCAATAAAATCCTGATAGAATCTTTTTAAAAAACTAATTCTAATTAAATTAATCTATCTGATTGATTTGATTGATTTGATTGATCTAATTAATCAGATTATATTTTTATTTAATCAGAATTTTTTATTTTTTATTTTTTATTAAACCTTTTTTAAAATAATGGATAGTAGTGAAAGAATAACTTTTTGGAAGCAAATAATAACCCCTTTTTCTATAATTAATATTAATAATCATGAAAATGATAATTCTAAGATCATAAAATCAATAAAAAGAATTAAAACTACTTCAACCAATAAATTTTCTGAAATATGATAATATTTTAATAAAAACGCTAAAGTAAATAATGGTCATTATCAAGCGAATTGTTTTCATTGTAATAAAATATATTCAAAAGTAAACCAGCAACTATAAAATCTCATTTAGCAAATGAATGCTTAACTTGTTCTAAAGAAATTCATTCCTATTGGCAAAATAAAGTAGCATTCAGTGTGATTAATTATACACATTCATCACCATCAACAAAATTTTCAGACGAAAAATCATCGCTAATATCTGATCATTTTCTTCCATTATTTAATTCAGTTATTAATTGAATAGGTAAATCTTTAATTAGAGTTTGAGTAATAAGAGGATTGCCATTTGAAGTGATCAAAAATCTATTTATCATTGATTTATTTAAAGAATTAAATTCTTTGTATAATCTCCCATCTTGTACAATGCTTTCTGATCAAATTCTTAATGAGAAATTAGCTCGTATAAATATAGCAATTTATCAAGATTTAGATAAAGAAAAAAATTTAACATTAGGTAGGTAATAAATAAGTTTTATTTAAAATATTAATCTAATAAAATACTAATAATAATTTATTTATATTATTTATTAGCACTTGATAGGTGAAGTACAAAAAAAATGGATTTTCTTTATAATTACGTTATAACAACTTTGATTAAAAAAAATATCTAATTGCATTATATAACTATTCTAAAGATTTACATAAGATGATTTTTTAGCAAAAAAAATATCTGATATTATAGAAAGTGTTGAAAGTGAAAAGTTTGCAACAATAGTAGCTAATGCTGCTAGAAATTGTAAAGTTACATGTGAAATAATACAACAAACATATAGACATATTTGGGATATTCGATATGCAGTATATGCATTTAATTTGATTGTGACTGATCTTATATGACTTAAAAAAATAAAGAATGTATTGCTAATTGCAATAAGATATGTAAATTTTTCAAATATTCACATATTACAAATTTGTTATTTCGTCAAGGTTTAGTAGATATGAAAATTAAAAGTGATGGATTACAAATATTAGGATTCCTCAAAATTGAATCAAATCAAATATTTAAGCAATTTGAATTTGATTTGATTTTTTCAAATCGAATCGAATTGAATCGGAACCAATTTGAATTGATTTGAATTTGATCAAATTGAATTGAATTGAATTGAATTAATCGAATCAAACTGAATCAAATTGAATTGATTGAATCGAATTGAATATAAATTTTTTTAATTTTTACAATGATATATTAAAATAAAGTTATTCTAAAGTTTTAATTAAGAAAAT